CTATGGGAGCACACTGACCACCAGGGGGCAGTTCCTGTGTTGTCTGTCCCCTGGGGGTCTGTGCGCATATTGACAGGTTGTCCCGTTGTTCGGTCTATTTGCATATTAGCCTTTTATTATATAGGATGTAAGTTGAATTTTGTCAAATGCTTTTCTGCCTCTGTTGAGATGACCATATAATCTGTATTCTTTATTTATTAAAGTGGTATATCTCATTGATTGATTTGCATGTATTGAATCATCTTGTATCCCTGAAATAAATCAAACTTCCTCATGGTGTATAATTATTTTAATGTGTTGTTGAATTCACTTTAATATTTGCTGGTGATTTTTGCATGTGTGTTCATGAGGGATATTGGATTGTGATTATACTTTTCTGGTTTCAGTATCAGGGTAATACTCGTTTCATAAAATTAGCTTTGAAGCATTCCCTTATTCAATTTTTTTGTAAGGTATTGGTAATAATAATTCTTTGAATGTTTGGTATAACTTACTAGTGAAGCCATCTGGTTGTGGACTTGTTGGGAGGTTTTTGATTACTCATTCTCCTTACTCGTCTGGTTTAAGTAGTCTATTCATAATTTAGTCTTGTTAGATTTTATGTTGCTAGGAATTTATCCAGTATAGATTCTAAAATCTCTTGGTATATAATTTTTCATAGTCTTCTCATGATTCTTCACATTCCTGTGGTATCAGCTATAACATAGCTTTCATTTTTGATTTGAGATCTTTTTTCTTGGTGAATCTAGCTGAAGATTTGTCAATTTTATCTTTTCAAAGAACCAGCTCTTAGTTTCATTGATCTTTTCTATTGTCTTTTTAGTCTCTATTTTATTTCTGCTGTGTTATTTCCTAACGTCTAACTTTTTAAAAAATTCTTTGTTAGTTAAGGTATTACAAATGTGTCCTAATCCCCCCATTAAACCATCTCCCCCCCACCCCCCTCATGCTACGTCTACTAACTTTTTGTCATTTTTCTTTTTCTAATTCCTTACAGTATAGATTGAGATTTTTCTTGTTTCTTGATGTAGGCATTTATTGTGATGAACTTTCTTCTTGGAATTGCTGTTACTACATCTCATAACTTTCGGTTGTTGTATTTCCATTTTGTCTTAGGGTATTTTTTGAAATTTTTTTGATTTCTTCTTTGACCCACTGGTTATTGAGTGGCATGTTGTTTAATATCCACATGTTTGTGATTTTTCAGTTTCCTTCTAATTCATTTTTAGGTTCACACTATTGTGGTTGGAAAACAGTGTTTGGTATTATTTCAGTCTTCAAAAACTTATTGACCTGTTTTGTGTTCTTATGCATGATCTATCCTGGATAATATTCTGTGTGCACTCAAGAAAAATGTGCATTCTGTTGCTTTTGGTTGGGCTGTTTTGTATATATCTGTGAATTACATCTGGTCTAACATTTCATGTATGGTCAATATTTTCTTACTGATTTTCTGATGTAAGTGGGGGTATTAACATCTATTATTACATTGCTATTTCCCCCTTTATGTCTGTTAATAATTGCTTCATATATTTATGGATACATAAATATTTATACATTATATCCTCTTGTTCGATTGACCTTTTTATCATTATATAATGTCCTTCTTTTATCATCTCTTTTAGTTTGTGTGTGTCTTTACATCTGAAGTGAGTCTCTTAAAGTCCTCCCTTATCACATATTCACTTTACGCTCTGTTAACTTTGATTAACTGTGGTGCAAAAATTTTATATGAAAAATTCCAGAAAGAAACAATACATTTTTAATTGCATGCCATTCTGAGTGGTATGATGAAATCTTGTACTGTCCCACCTAGGACATGAATCATTCTTTTGTCCAGGAAACCTACTCTGAATTGGAAGAAATATTTTCTCATTAGTTATTTTGTTATCAGAGACATAGGTCAATGGAACAGAATAAAGAACCCTTTAGTTACTTGTAAATTTAAAATTCTAATCATAAGTTAAAGTCTTTGCAAGGTGGTTGTTCAATTGTTTATATAGTACAGCTGTGCTAGCTGAGCACATCACTTAATATTATAATTTAAGTAGTGGCATGGTGCACAGATTCTTGCACATTGAAAGGAAATTGGAAGAAATATTTTAATATCGCTATTCGCCCTTTCTCTATAGTAGAATGTCAGAGATGAAAGAAAATTAGTAAAATGTGTATGAAAATAATAAATTGATAAACATTATAATAACATAGACATGATATAAAAACATTGATAAAAACAGTGACTGATAAATTGATTAAACTTATTCTAATATCTCCCTGTATACCACATTAAGAGTAAAAACACTTTGAGTGCTTGACTAATTTCCCTTGTGATGAAGTATTTACAACTTTAATGTCACACACTGTTCGAACTTGAGAGAAAGCAACATTATAACTGACCATGTCCGAAAACTTGTTCAGGTAGGAATATTCCTACTCTGTCTAGATTGGCACCAGCGAGTGCTTTATATGTATCGCACACGCACAAGTCAACGTTTATTTTTAAATTGCCATTGCACGTCATATGTACCAGTCAGACGGACATACAATAGATAACTTAGCCATATATATATATTATTATATATATAATATAATAGTTAGATAGATAAAAAAATTTTCAGTATCTTTTTGAGTGGTGAAACTTTTCCTGTTTTTTAGAATGGAAAAAAGTGAAAGGTTGTATGTGATTCAGCAATGATCTGCAGGGAAAGCACAATGGTATGTGAGATATGAGATAAGGACTTAAACTAGTTAGCTGCCACACTATTTTGAATTTAAAAAGGCCCGTCACTTGAGTCTATAGATGCTTATGGCATATGAACGGTAAAAGAACATGAAATGCAACGTGACTTTATATCAACAGCAACATTTCCCTAAAAATTTGGTTCCAAGAGAGGAGTTCTTTTCCCCTAGCTTCTCTGGAATGAAAACTGAAGGATATTTTCCAGATCCTTTTATTTTTATGTACTTTGCTAATTTCAAACCAAGAAAACTTCACATCTCACAAGATATTTTTTAGTTGCTTTTGATGAAAAGTTTGTCAGTTACCGTTGATAGAAAAAAATGTAGACTTTTTCTCAGAAGTATACTTAAGTATATAATACTAGGGGCCCGGTGCATGAAATTCGTGCACTGGGTGTGTGTTGGCGGGGGGTGGTGCGGGGGGAGTGTCCCTCAGCCCAGTCTGCCCCCTCTCACACACTGGGAGCCCTCAGGCGTTGACCCCCATCACCCTCCAATCGCAGGATCAGCCCCTTGCCCAGGCCTGACCCCTCCGACC